GGACAGAACAGTATGCACTCATTTCATCCTATACTTTTTCAGCTCTTCATAAATCTTCCCATATTCCAATCCATTTGGGAGATAATGGCTCCAAATTCATGGACAAAGCAAAGTAGTGTATCTCTGAATAATTAACATCCTCATTCAGCTTAGAAAAAAAATAGATTTGAGATTTTTGTTATCCTCTGATGAATTAAATCATCTGATTGAATGTATCAAATAATTATACAACTCCTCTTCTCACATATATGCTCTGGACTGCAGAAAAGTTCTAGAAATAATTCAAGGCATAGTTTTACCCTTGTCTGTACCCTTGTACACCCAGACTGAGCGTCACTCTCCGCTTTCCCATCTCTCCGACCCTTTTAACCCTTAGCGTAGGTACCCTTTTATAACTTAGTTTTGGTTTAAAACACACGCAAACCTATGAAAGTTAAGTGGTAGAATAGAAAGAGATCACATTTAGCAAATAGACCACATTCAAATCTTCCTTTAAGTAAATTAACTCTTCTAAGCCTTAGTTTCTTCATTTGTAAAATGAAGATAAATTGAGACAGCCAGAATATTTTTGGCCATAAGTAATAGGATACTGTTACTTAATGACTTAAATGTTAAGGAATTTATTACCAATCACAGCAAGAAGTCCAGAAGCAGAGTGGTTGAGGGTTGATTAAATCAAAAATTCACTGATGTCATCAGAGACCCTGACGCTTTCTGTCTCTTTGCTCCCCTTATGGTTGCAAGATGCTTGGGCACCCTGAGCATTGCCTCCCTATGAAATAAGAGCCACACGTGGCACAGGGCTGGTCCCTGTCTTGTGGCCCTTTGTACAAGTGAAGCGCCTCCCCACCCTGTAGCCTTCCCTTTATGGTCTATTAGACATAGCCCAGAGCTACACCACACAGCAATGCCCACATTAATCACTAATGTGGGCCACAGAACTCCTGTGCATGAGTAGGAAGAATTCAGATTTACCCCAGGACTGAGGAGGGGATCCTGAAGCATATCAGAACCTTAATTAAATAGAATCTAAACAGAATTCCATTGGTGAGGAGAAAGAGAAAGAAGAGAAAGAAATGGAAAACAGAAGTGCAAGGTTGGGGTGAGAGTTTAAACTCCTGGCGCATGAGAACATCTCCTTTATGTGTACTTACCTACCTGCCTAGATGGGTAAGGGTAAGGAATAGGTCTCATGTCAGTTTTGCATCCCCAGGAACCAGTGTTTTGCCTCCCACAGAGGACGTGTTTGGGAATGAGCACAGGCCCTAGTGTGAGGCTTCTATAATCAGTAAGGCATATGCTGAAAGTTTCTTCCCCACTTTCTCACCTAAGCCGCCTTACAGCAATTGGATCCATGTTGAAGACAACTTCATGGTCTCCCTGAGGCAGTTGGCAGATAGTATGGGAGAGACGTCAGGTCAAACTCATGCCCCTAGAAACGGTCAAGATGAATAACACATCCTTTATATTTTGGACAGTTTCCTCAACTGTAACTGTGGGATTAGGTGACCTGAATGGCTGACACAGCTTTGAGAGCAAAGGAGAAATAGTTCCCATCTCCATTTATTGAAGGAGCTACTGTTTATTGAAGAAGGCCACTAAATTAACAAATGCATCACGTTCCGGAAACTTTTTGCATGGAGGTTGAAAAGAAGACAATACATAATGATAACTGTAAATATAGACAATATCTCAGAAGCCTGTGTCAATAGAGGGGTTGTTACTTTCAATTTTCTGGTCTCTTCCATCCATGGATGCCTTGGGTAATCTTAGACAAAGACATTGGATGTAGGCAACTGACCAAAATGAATGCAGTCAAGTGAGCAGTTGCAGAGCTATGACTTGGGGCAGTATTATGAATTAATCTGAGATGGAGCTTTGGCTCCCAAGTTCAATCATGGACTTGGAATGTACTGCAGAGGGTATTCACAGCCAGGCAGAGGTGAGGTCAGATACTAGTTTCAGAAATAACAAGGGTTGAGGGACTCATGACATATCATTAATCCCAACCCCAGGCAATTCCCTGGCCCCAGAAGCTATATTTATTGGAAGTAATCAATGGAAATATAATGGGTGGGTGGGATATAATAATGAGGAGTTAGGAATGTTAGGGAAGAAAAATAAACTAGGTTTGAGGATTTATGCAGAAAAGGAGGAAATAATGGAGAATATTAATACCTATTTGGGAAAAAAAACCTCCATAAATGAAGGAAAACACACAGGAAACCTAACATACATGCCAAGGAATAGGACAATTTTGGGTAAATGTGAGTTTTCTTAAAATATTCTTTCTTTGGGAGACTTCCATTTCTAATAAAGAGTATTCATTTTAAAATTGAACAACCGTTGATTTTGGAAAGATTCTTTTGGGCTTAGGTGTTGGGCAATAAACACAACATAGACACACACTCTCTCTCTCTCTCTCTCTCTCTCTCATCTTCCATTTTTTTAGTGTTTTTTTCTTCAAATTCCTTTGCATCTCATAAACCCAACCCCATGCCTTACCGTGTCTTTAAAAACATTAACTGATCAACATTCAGAAATGGCATCAAATTCCTCTTATTCTTTGAATGATTAAAAAAAATTGCATGCAAATCCAAAGAAATGTTTCTAGAAATTTTTTGAATCTTGTATGACTGAAACTCTAGGATGGATTAGGCATTTATCTACTTCATTCTACCTTAATCTTTATCTAGCTTATAAATCCATGGCAACTTCCCTACTGAAGTTAGAAATGCTCAACCACCAATTAGTGAAATAGACTCCAGAAACCTTGATGGTAGTGCAGTCAGTAATACACTTAGACAATTTTCTAGATAGTACACAAGAAAATCTTCTCTACTCTTTAATAACGTACAATTTTCTGCAGGAGCTAGGATTTTTAATGAGTTAACCAAATATTATTTGAATCTTTCACTTCCTTTAGCTAAAGTAGCCCTCCCTTAAGCTTAAAAATCACATAAATTACTACCTTGTCTCCTCACTCTCACTGTCCCCTCCCCCTTTTCTACTGCAGGAGAGACCTTTATTACAACAAACTTTGAGGCAATTATAGATGGCAAATTGATTATCTAGCATCAGGAACTTTCTAGATTACTTTGTCAGCATTTCTTCTTTCGCAAACACATTTGTGTGTTTAAAATGCCCTATTTTTTCAGCAGAGGAAAGTGATTATGGAAACCTACTTAATCAGCCTTTCATGCATTTACTAAGGCTCTGTAAAACTCAAGAATGTCATCCTTTTGTTATGCTGATGTTTGGGTGTTGTGACATGCATATAAAAATAAAATTAAGCCAACAGGCTTAATCCCATTTTCTTTGTCCTGTATGTCTCCACCAGGCAGACCTTGTCTATTTCAAAGTCATTTTGACAGTTTTCATCAGTATGTCATTTTTTTAACTATTTAAAGAATGATGGAGACTTAATAGAGTAGAAATCAGAGAAAATCTTTAATGTGAAAAACCAATAACTTCCATCTGTGTGTTGATGGTGGGCCTGTCTTGAAAGTTATTTATTATTAATCTTTAAAAAATAACTTATCAAGAAGTGAGTACCTTCCAATAACTACTTAAATGAAATAGGAAGAGTTTGGCTTCCATTCCTGCCCTCAGACTTCACAAGTGCCTTGATTATTACAATTCTTACCACTTTACTAGAGAATTTCAGTTCTGTTCACAAAGGTTTTAAATTTTGAGGAAGTATATCTATATATTTTTTTCTCTGTTGCTTGTTTTTGGTGTCATATCTACAAAACCATTGCCTAATCCAGGTCACAAAGATTTACCCCTATGTTTTCTTCTAAGAGTTTCATAGTTTTATGTCTTATATTTGGGAGCTTAATCTATTTTGGGTTAACTTTTTTTTTTGTTTATGATGTGAATGGGGATTGAACTTCATTATTTTGCATGTGGCTATCCAGTTGTCCTAGCACCATTTGTTGAAAATATGATGCTTTCTGCAATGAATTGTCTTGGCACCTTTGTTGTAAATCAACTGATGATAAATGTGAAGGTTTATTTCTGTACTCTCAGTTCTATTCCATTGATCTGTATGTCTGTCCTTGTGCCAGTAACACACTGTCTTGTAGTTTTGTAGTTAAGTTTTGAAATCGGGAAATGTACGTCCTCCAACTTTGTTCTCATTTTTCAAGGTTGTTTTGGCCATTTGGGGTCCTTTACATTTCTGTAGGAATTTTGGAATCAGCTTGTTAATTTACGTTAAAAAGCCAACTAGGAGCTCAATAGGAATTGAACTTGCAAATAAATTTGGGCAGCAGTGCTATCTTAGCAACATTGTCTTCTGTTCCATGAACATGGTTTGTCTTTCCATTTATTTAGGTCTTCTTTAATTTTTTTTAACCCTGCTTTATATTTATTAGAGAATATGTTTATCACTTTTTTGGTTACATTTAAATCTATTCCTACAAATGTATTCCACTTTTGAAAAGAGAATGTTTAACTTTTCTAAGCATTTGTGCCTTGGACAAACATGACAGTATGGTTGATCTATAACAGAATAGCCTTAAAGACTCAGACTAAAAGACTGAGTTTTGAGTTATAATCCTGGAACTTCCACTTACCAGCTTTGGAAACTTGGGCACATGAGCTGCTCTCTGCCATTTTCATTATCTGAAAATAAATATTTAAAAAATAAAGGTAGTTACACAAGAGAGGTTTTTACGAAGATTAAATAATAATACATGTAAAGTTAGAAGAACTATACTTGGCGCAGGGTAAGCAGTTAGGAAAGATAAGTTATTGTTATTGCTACAATGCTCTTTTTCTTCTACTTTTCTCTTCCCTAAAACTACTGTTAGGCAGCCACAATTAGATTTGGGATTATGCCACTAACTTCTGGTATGTTGAGGCAGATGGTTGAGACCAACTACACAAGTTCCTGAACTCTTTATTCTCCCATTGTTGAAAAGATTTTTTAGGAAGCCACCAATGTCTTCCTTGCTTTGTAGGATTCTAAGGATCATTTTGTTGGTGTTTTACAGCTGGCCAGTTGGCTGGAAACTCCTCTGTCGAGATGTATCGCCAAGTGCTCCTGTCTGGTTGTCGCTGTGTGGAGTTGGACTGCTGGAAGGGACGGACTGCTGAAGAGGAACCAGTCATCACCCATGGGTTCACCATGACAACTGAAATATCCTTCAAGGTAGAGTGAATGAATATTGCTAACAGAAGAAACCAGGGAGACCTGAACCCTTTTGGGTAAAGCCTCCTAAGGTAGAAAGTCCCAGTGGTTATAATTAAGTCCATAGGCTATTAATCATTTTTGCAATTTCAGAGGCTAAAATTTAGTAGTATATTTGTGGGTAATTAGCATCATGTCGTAGGGAGCTGTGGTGTTTCAGAAAAAGTGCCTTAGAGAGGACTTACAGGATTTGGGCTTATATTAGGTGATTTGGGGGAGGGTTCAAGAAAGTAAGGTTTTGCTATAGATTGGGTACTATCAATAAGCAGAAATAATCCTGTGACTAGGTATCTTAATAAATCCTATCTAGGAGGTAAGATTAAAGCTGTAACTGATAAAGAGCTTCAGTCATTCTTATTAGCCAGGAATGAGGATATGTTTGGTCATCTCTTTTCTCTTTCCACACAAGGCTCCATCCTACATCGTAAAGGGCCTAACATTCATGCATATGGACATAGACGCCCAAATATCCAAGTTATGTTCACATCCCCTGAAAAGAGCCATCCCCAGGAGCTTGGAATCATTTGGGTAGGGGAAATCCGGGTCTCTAGGGACCCAGAGAAAAATCTAGGAAGAGGATATGTGGGCTATAGGGGAAATGTGTTTTTTACTGACTCAGGCTTTTCACCTGTCTGGAAGTAAACCAGAAAAGAAGGGCTAGAGGACAACCTCTAGAGCACAAATCCCAAGGCATGAGCCCCATTACCTGTGTTACCTGGGTCTCAGGACAGAACTGGCTCTGGGTCACTAACTCTTGCCCTAAGCAACCAAGGAAACAGTCCAAGTATGTGGATAGCTAAGGTAGAGGGAGGAACAAGGCCATTGAAAAACAAGGCCTCATTCTGGCTGAGAGGCCAGAATGTTGGATGAATTATATATTAATGTCCCCAAGATTGTTGACAAAGCTTTGGATGAAGAAGACAGTGAGGCACTTGCCAAAGTCTTTGCTGAATGAGGGGGAGCTCAGTAAATGGCACAAGAGAGGAAGTGGTAAAATCTGGTTGGAGTGCCTTATGAGAACTAGGAACTCAAAAATAGCATTGGGAGAAAAAAAAAAAACCACTCCCCAGTTTTTGGCCCCAAGGCACCTGGGATGTGAGAAAATAAACAGCTATCACTCGAGAGAGCATCAAAAGAGAAGCAGGATTGTCAAGGGACAGGCTGATTTCAATTGAGATAAATGGATTTCCTGATCAAAGGTACCATATTTGACAGTAATAAAAATGCATTCAGAATTGCTATCATTAGCACCTTAAAATATGTTCACTATGTTGTGTCTAGCGAATTTGACTTTTCATGATTTCTTAAACTTAGGCTACAACACAGTAATTAGAGATACATAGCACCCTTCACTAAATTTTACAACAAAGTTTAATATGAAGGTGACCTTAATCCCGATCAAATCCTTACATTTATATCTATACCTGAAAGGGAGTACTCAAGTTCTTTTGGTTTTCTTTAATGGAAAAATCAATGGGTTTTTGTTTCATTTCCATAGTCCCCCTCTCTCCCAGCTCCTGCCATTGTCCTTTGTCAGCTCTCTAAATACCAACCCCTAACCTCGCTGGGATCTTTTTTTTTTTTTTTTCCACTGGGCTCTTTAAGAAAAGGTAGGGCAGGGGCGCCTGGGTGGCTCAGATGGTTAAGCGTCTGCCTTCAGCTCAGGTCATGATCCCAGCGTCCTGGGATTGAGCCCTGCATCAGGCTCCCTGCTCAGCAGGGAGCCTGCTTCTCCCTCTCCCTCTGCCTCTCTCCCTGCTCATGCTCTCTCTCTCTCTCTCTCTCTGTATCTCTGTGTCTCAAATGAATAAATAAAAATCTTAAAAAAAAAAAAAAAAAGAGAAAAGGTAGGGCACAGGTGACCCTGGTGTGGAGAGAGTGCAGTTTCGGCTCATCTGGCTGTTGATGGATGGAGATAATCCTGGGAAGGGAGACACCACATCCTGATGGAGCCACTACTGCACTAAGGGACTGAAGGCCTTGTGAATTGACCCAGTACCAGGAGGGCCCTCCCATCCCCTGCTCATGGTCCCCTCAGAGTCCATATGGGGAGCAATTATATATTCTTTTTTTTTTTAAGATTTTATTTATATATTTATTTGAGAGAGAGAGAGAGAACAAGTAGTGGGGAAGGGCAGAGGGAGAAAGAGAGAGAAGCAGACCCTCTGCTGAGTAGGAAGCACGACACAGGGCTCAATCTCAGGACCCAGAGACCATGACCTGAGCCAAAGGCAGCCGCTTAACTGACTGGGCCACCCAGGCATCCTGCAATTATATATTCTTGAAAATTTGTAATCCTCAAGGTCCTTTGAGTTCTGGGGTGGGGCAAGGGAGGGGTAGGTGGAGAGATAAACACCAAGCGCATTCTAAGGCATATTTATTTTATGTGGAGCATTGGCTTCTTGATCTCAGCCACCAAGTCAACTTAGAGTGACTTTCCCTGGACACTTGTCTATACAATCGGTTCTTCAGTCACATTTGTGATCCCAGAGTCGCAGGCTGATTGGACATCTCTTCCTGGGCTGGGGAAGCATAACTTCACCGCATCCACACATTTGTGGACAGATGTAGAAACTAGAAGACTAAATCTAGCCCAGAATACTGCTTCCTTTCTCTGCCTGCCAGTGGGGGGTGGGGGGTGGCCAAAGGGAGCAGGAAACTCATCTCCCAAATGGTTGGTTTGTCCAGCCATGCTTCTTGCTAATGCGCATTTGCAGGATGGATTATTCTTGCAAAGATGTAGGTGGGTGGTGGTGGTGGTAGACTAGGATGGCTGTGGATGGTAGAAATGCCAACCTGTTTTGTGGACAAATACAGAAAGTAGGAATTCTCTGCATCAAGACTAGGACTGAGGTGAAGCTTAGTGCGGCACCTCACATGCAAAATTTAAGGAGACACTTGCTCTCGGTGTCATGTACATGCAGAGTTGGTACCCAAGGATGAGTGTCTCTTTACATTTTGCACTTAGACCCCTCCCTTGCCTCACCACAGTCCCAGCTTGCTCTGCATGGTTATCGGCACAGAGTCTGCTTTTCCAGAAACCACTGTGTATGTGAATTTGGAAGAAAGGGTAAGAAGAGAAATGGGGGACAAGATCCTGTGTGATCCACCCCCTGTTACCCCTTTCCCCCTCACTCACTTGGCTACAACTCCACTGGGCTCTGCTGTTCCTTTTTAAATTTTTTTAAGTATTTTATTTATTTATTTGAGAGAGAGAGAGAGAAAGCATGAGCTGTGGGGAGGGGCAGAGGGAGAGGAAGAAGCAGACTCCCTGCTGAGCAGGGAGCCTGATATGGGGCTTGATCCCAGAACCCTGAGATCATGACCTGAGCTGAAGGCAGATGCTTAACCAACTGAGTCACCCAGGCACCCCAGCTCTGCTGTTCCTTGACCGTGCTAGGCAGGTCCCACCTCACGGCCTTTGCACAGGTTATGAGGCTCTGCTTGGAATGTTCTTCCCCCAGGTATCTGCATGGCTCACCTCTTACCTTCTTGAAGTCTTTCTCAAATGCCACCTTCTCAAGGAGGCCTACTGGGACCACTCTATTTAGTACCATAACGAGCCATCACACCCACTCCCACACTCCCACACTCCCGATACACTCCCTAGCACCACTTTATTTTTTCTGTTTACCAAATGGCACCTTATCACCTCCTGCCACTCTGTTAATTTACTTAATTATTATGTTTCTTGTTTATTGTCTCTCTCCTTCTGTTCTTCTACTAGCATGTAAGCACCACAAAGATAGAGATCTTTGTTTTGTTCCCTGATCTGTCCCAAGCACTTCGAAAAGAATCTGGCATACAGTAGGTGCTCAATAAATGTGTGTGTGTATGTGTGTGTGTGTGTTTTAATGACTCGTCCCATCCCTAGCAAATAGACAAATTACAGCATAGCTTTTAATTTTAGTCTTTCTTGCCTCTGTCCATCAGATATATGAATTTTGTCTTTCTCCATTTTCATGTGTCAAATTCCACATATGATATATTGGTGGGCAGTGAAAATATTCTCTGAACGTTTGCCAGTTTGGGCTATCCCATGTATTTGGAGCTGACCTTCATGGTGCAAATAGGCTGTATTCTATAGCCACTGCACATACAGTAACAGCAAAATAAACTGATTACAAAAGTTCATCATTTTTATGTCACACCGTTTATCTGCTCTCAATCTATGTAATTTGAAAAGCTTCTGTGCGACATATCCGCAAAAGTGAAAGCTCCTATTGGCATTTACTGCCTATTTATTATATGGGCCAAAATAAAAGGTTATGTTCTGAGAAAGGGGACATGCTGTAATTCGGTGTCTTTATGGAGGACTTTTTATTTTGCACTCTGGATTTATTTATTATTTATCTCGTATATCTGCTGTTCTGTTTCTTTGCCTCATAGCCTTAGCCTTTCTGATGGTTATGACATAGTCATTCGCGACTTGGTTTTCATTCTCTCTGCTCCCATTCAGTCTCCTTCCTCCCCACACTGGACACCACCACCCCCAGCCTATTCCACCCCAAATTGCTCTTTTTTCTCTCCTCAGGCAGAGCCTTTGTTACCAGCAATTGTATAAGATGGAAAAGTGGGTAATGTGATAAAATCAATGATGAAAATATAGTAAATTTGAGTATGTGGTTAAATCGAGCATTTCTGAAAGTAAAGCTCTGAGAAAAATAATAATTTAGGATGCAATTTAACAGCTACATAAATGGCCACATAAAATGGATATCCAAATACATCCTGCTGTTGTCTATCAGGGCTAAAGGATTTCAGGAGCAGTTTTTCCCACTGGAGGTTAGTAATTGAGCCATATGGTTTATAGATTATTGAATCCAGTGTTAGGAGTCCCTGAAAAACAGTTTTGGCTTAATAAGGAGCAATTGAGCAGTAAGGTACTTTCGATACAGTGTCCACTAATGATAGCTCAAATGTAAGAACCAAACTTAAAACTTCTAACAGGTTTTCTCATC